AGCGCTTAACAATTGGACCACTGAGCCGGCATCCAACGGTGTTAATATGTAACTTCAACCAACCCACGAAATTGAGCCACCTTACACCATTGCCTTCAGTGAGTTGATATCTCACAACTGACCTGGTTGAACTCCAATGGTAACGGCTTCTCACTAGAACTCCAGGAAATGCCTCTTGAAGTCAGTCACTAGTGAGCAGCTGAGTATTATCAGAAGGGGTTTTGTTGAGATTGCAGTAATTTCAATAGTTGAAATCATGAGTCAATTGAAGCTAGATCACCATGGAAAAACTGGCCGTCTAGTGCTTCCAGGTTTTCCATGGTGGTCTAGCTTCAATTGACTCATGATTTCAACTATTGAAATATCTAAAATCTCCACAAAACCCCTTCTGATAATACAATTATGTATTTGCTGATTCTCAGTTTTACTTGTACTTCAATGATTCAGAAAGAATTTTTTCAGCCTTCAACTTGCACTTTTATTTTGTTTTATTTATTCCTTGATATAAAAACATATTGACACCGGATATCAATCATTGATAACTCAATCTTACACATCCATACACACATTGTGAACTTTTCACATGATTCTTATTTAACTGACTCATATTATCCTATTTACTAAAGTCAACATCTAAATATGATTGGATTAGCACATTATAGATTTGATTGTTTTGATGATTTTGTTTATTGCCCTGAACTCCAGACAAGTTTTCACACATATTGAATTAGAACAACACATATAAGCGAACAATTGTTTTCAATTAGATCGTCATCAGGCTTTACTCTAATATACATGGATATTTATACGAAAATTTTAAACCAATCAAGGCAATATGAGTCAATAATCACAATGAAATAGAATAAGTCACTACACATAAAATAGGTAAAAGTACAAGTTGATAGTACGAAGACAGGTGAACAGATAGTGGTAAGAATAATAAACTACAATAACAAAACTCTTATCAATAGTTAATCGTTGGAAATAGAAGGTCAAATAAACATGGGTAAATAGACCAGGAATAGAAATCACATAACCTTAAAAATCATTGAGTAATAAGATGTGTGTAAATAAATAGATAGTGAAGAATACAAAGAAAAGAACAATGAAAAAAAATAACGGATGTGGAAATAAGGTTAAAAATGACACAGATAGAATAAAATAAATAATGATAATAATAAAATTTAAAATAAAATAAAAACAATTAAAAAAATTGTTAGTTAAGTTATAACTGGCCATGGAAGGGATAGGGGAGTCACGTATTTCTTCTGTACACATAAATTGGGGTTATATGTACGAATTCCAATGGCTTCAGCTATATATAGGAGACGGGAACGGACTCCGTCGAGAAATGATGGAGGTAAACGATAGATAACTCGAAATGATTTCGATTTATCTACTTCATGACCGCTATCAATAAGATGTGCTAGTATAGAACTGCGAATAGTTTTTCTCTGACCCTTTATGTACCAAGTTGGTAGATGTTCACTCATTCGTTGGTTAAGTTGCCTGGTAGTACGCCCTATATAGCTATCTCCACAGGAGCAGCTGAATTTGTAAATGCACATGGAAGAGGCCAACTCAGGTAACTTATCCTTCGTTTGAGTAGACATCGCTGGTCGACAAGAGAAGGTCAACGCAAGATTGGCTGCGTAGAATATCTTGGTGATTACTTTGGTTAACCTATATTTCAGAGTGTCACTAGCCACATCCCCGTTGAATTGCACTTTCATGTATAAAGGTTTCTTACGAACAGTCGAGATCTCCGACTTTTTTATTATATCCTGCATGTATTTCTTGATGAACGCGCTGGGGTAGCCGATCTCGGTCAGTGAGTTGTTGAGAAATTCAAGCTCCTGACTTAGAGTGTCTACTGTACAGATCTTTTTGCTCTGCTCGTGAGACGTCTGACCAAATTTCTCTTGCAACGGATGGGTGTGAAACTGCAGAAGTGAGTATATTGGGTTTCTTCTATACACGCTTCTACTTAATGTGCCGTCACTTCGTCTGCTTAGTGTGACGTCAAGGAAGCTCAGCTTCTTATCATGCTCGCTTTCACCAGTGAAGGTGATCGCTGGGTGAACACTGTTGAATTGGTCTAGGAGTTCCTCTTTACTAGTGTTTTGGTCTACGATAATGAATGTGTCGTCAATGTATCGACAATATAAATCCAGTTTCTTAATAGTCTCATTGAGAGGTCCGTTTTCTAGCTTTGCTAGGAAGAGGTCAGCTAAAATCGGGCCTAGAGGCGAGCCCATGGCTATCCCGTCTGTTTGTCTATAGTAAGTATTGTTGAAGACAAAATGTACATTCAGAGTGCATCTTAGGAGCAGTTCCCTTAGGCTATCGTTAGGCAAGCCAATGTTGATTTGGTTTTTTGATATTTGCTTGCATATAAAATCAATAGTCTCTATAAGTGGTACGTTGGTGAACAAAGATCCTACATCCAGTGAGATCATATTTTTCATGCTTACATTAATATTTTCTACTTTGGAGATGAAGTTGAAGACATCTTTTACACTATTTCTAACAACTGATTTGTGTAAAGGTTCTAGGATTCGTACTAGCCACTTTGCGATTTTGTGGTAAGGAGAATTGTACATATCTAGAACTGGGCGTAGAGGAAGACCCGATTTATGTACTTTAGGCAAACCATACAATCGTGGTGTGAATGATCCAGTCGGCTTAATTGAATCGTAAATCTCAGTCGTAATTATTCCCTTTTTCGTTAGATCTTTAAGGAAATTGGCCAGTTGTCTTTCTACTTTATTATTGACGTCACAATTACTAGTAATTTTCTGAAGAATTATAAGTCCATTTGTATTGTGCTATGTCTTATAGTATTTACGGTAAAAATTTAGAGGTTATAAATAAATTAATCAGTATTATGGACAGAAAATAGTGAATTTCAAGTTGATTAAATCTTAAGTACTTACAAAAAGCGTCCACAGTAGTGCTAAGAAGTTATATATAATAATTCAGTCACAGACGTCCAAAGATGCAGTAAGGCTGAGGAATGATCCATTTCCACACCTGATATACTCACACGCGTCCTGCAGTTTATAATTTCTTTTAAGGAAGTTCTGCTTACTACCTTCATGTATCAAGATTGTTTTTGAATAAGTGAGTTAGAGAGGAAAAGGATTATTAGAGCTTCAACTGTGTTGCTGGATACCAAAGCCCCATCTTTTCTAGTTAGAAAACCATAGTTCAAAACCTATGTGATTCAATGGCTTCAGGATTCTGAGAAGATAAACAGCCTGGAAGCAGAATTCATTCACCAACTACCATTATCTTGTGTATTAGACTCATATGCAAACGGCTCACCAGTAGTCGAAACGTTTCACATTATGTTAAGTGCCTGTGCACTCAACAGGAAAGAAGGCCTGAATATTCATCCAACCTGAACTGTTTATCCAAACAACTAAATCTGACGTTATTTGCTTTCAACACAATCTATACATACATTCAGTTTCTACCCTTCTACTTCACATTATAAATATATACATTTATCAAACCCGCATTCTGGTGCACAAATTAATACGGTATCAGGTCATACAAATTAACCGTGATCAAGAATAACTTGACATTGACATACTCAGACCTATTATGATTTTAATTGTACTAACAATGTTCTGCATTGTTTCCTTTGTTCAATTTAAACTTTTGTTAGTTTTTTTTTCACTTTACTTTGAAGTAGTGGCTTACAATAAGTCACGAAACGTCAGAAGCACAATTTTCTACTCATTGGGATATCACAAAAATATATTTACTATCGATACAATAGATATGTTCAATTAGATTGTTAACCAGCGTCCGATAAAATCTCACATAAACTTGTAATGTTAATCAAAAGTAACAATAAATATTAGGAACTAAACAAAATTATATTTCAATAGTTGAGATCATAAGTCAATTGAAGTTAGATCATCATGGAAAACCTGTAAGCACTCAACAACCATTTTGTCCTTTTGTGGAACTCCTCCATGATCCCACCTCCCGAGATTCGAACTCAGGATCTGTCGATCCCACTTACGAACGCTTAACCTCTAAACCACTGAGCTGACCAACATCATCCAATGATGTTAATATGTAACTTCAATTAATCCATGAAATTCTATTTATTAAATGCTCATTTCATTTTTTTGTTTTTTATTTTTAAAAACTAAAACTGACTTTTAGACTTTCAATACGAATGTCGAGACAGTACTACTGTATGGGACAGAAACCTGGAGAACTACGAAAGCCATCATCCAGAAGATACAGGTGTTTATTAACAGATGTCAACGCAAAATACTTCGGATCCGTTGGCCGGACACTATCAACAACAACGAACTGTAGGAAAGAACAAACCAGATCCCAACGGAGGAAGAAATCAAGAAGTGCTGGAAGTGAATAGGACACACGTTGAGGAAAGCACCAAACTGCGTCACAAGACAAGCCCTCACATGGAATCCTCAATGCCAAAGGAAAAGAGGAAGACCAAAGAACACATTACGCCGGGAAATGGAGATAGACATGAGAAAAATGAACAAGAATTGGATAAAATTAGAAAGGAAGGCCCAGGACAGAGTGGGTTGGAGAATGCTGGTTGGTGGCCTATGCTCCATTAGGAGTAACAGGCGTAAGTAAGTAAATAAGTAAAACTGACTTTTAAAATATCCCCATTAGAAAATTATAAAAAGTAACAATTTTTTTTTGTTTTTCAACATTAAAAAAGAAAACAAATTTTCTTTTTTGAATAGTTTCTACATAATTCTGTTAAACTTGAGAAATTGAATGAAAAAAAAGAAAAGAAAATGTTTTTTTTCTGAAAAGTTTTTTAATAATATTCAATTGTGTATATATAGAAAAATATTATGAATATATTTTCACTATTGTACAATAACATTCATGTAACCCATCAATTGATGTATAGAAAAGACAAAAACAAAAACAAAACAAAACAATCCCTATAAGAAAAGAAACTAATATGATTGCATTTTATTGATTTATTTATATTACACATCTGAGCATAAATAATTTGACCAGATATTCATTTGATATATTCTATGATGATTGACTGTTTTATTATTATTATATTGATTTTTTTGTAAATATTGTTGCTGTATAGGGGAGGATGTGAATCGATTTTGTGCACATTTGGTATTATATTGATTTTCTATGTTTATATCAAAATCTTTTTGAATTTGATTAGATGAAGAAGCATTTATGGGAGATTTTGCATTATTATTATTATTATTATTATTATTATTATTATTATTATTATTATTATTATTATTATTATTATTATGTAACTTGTATAAAATAGAAATGGAATTAGCCAACGATAATAAACCATCAGCACTTTGAGGATTTACAATGGATTCAGTGGAAAATAGATATTCCTTTTTCATAAAGAAAGGCAAAAACAAGAAAATAAGTTCATATACAGATTATTTCTTTTTTTTTCTTCTCACTATTGTTTAAAGTATAAAACAAACATTATTGACTAGATTTTTATTATTTTGTCTATTAAAGTATTTCAGTGACATACTTATTCTAATTGATCTAATTTATTCTATAGTGAAATCTAGTTTTTTTTTTAAACAAAATTATAAACTATAGCACTTGTTTTTGCCGAATCATAACAGATTTCATTCATGTTATATTCGTCATTACATTTCATTTAAAGAACACGTATACTATATTATAAGTAATTATCTAACCCAAGGATTTCAGCCATTTAAGTAATAATGTAAACTGTCAAATTAGGAAACTTATTTACAGAGTATACAAGCCGTTTCCAACTGAATAAAACAAGTCTTTTTTTACTGCTACATCTGTGTTATTTCTGAGTCTCTTACTTAATTACTTACTTACGCCTGTTACTCCTCATGGAGGAGCATAGGCCGCTCACCAGCACTCTCCATCCAACCCTAGCCTGGGAAATCTTTTCTAGCTCCTTCCAGTTGTTATTCATCCTTTTCATATCTGCTTCTATTTCCCGACGTAATGTGTTCTTTGGCCCACCTGTTTTCCGCTTCCCTTCAGGATTCCAAGTTAAGGATTGCCTCGTGATGCAATTTGGTAACTTCCGTAATATATGTCCTATCCAACTTCGCCTGTAGCACTTTTGGAGTTACAGCCGGTCCCAAGCCCGGGTAAAGGAGGAGGGTTGGGCATGGGATTAACGACCTTAACTCCATAGAAAACTAACTTGCTAAAAAACGCTAACCAGAAAAAAATAATTCTTAGTCTCTTAAAAGAGCATAAATAGCTACATAGACAACTACATATAACTAGGAAGTTATTCATGTGTATAATTGTAAATTTATTGGATTTGTGATATAGCATAACTATTCGATGATACAATTCAAATCCTTTCATGCATTTGTTCTCTATATAGACCTCAGATAACATAGTATAATCAAAATATTCTAGATTCAGAAGAAAAAACAAACAAACTCATTTTTAACTCAGATTATTTATAATCTTACTTTAGGTACACCATAACGATATATTGATTCACGACAACGTCTTAAATTTCGACGATAAGATTTGACTACTTCATTTAACATATTATGATGCTGATCATTTCTAGGTAAACAGATCTAAATAAATAAATAAATAAAGAGAAATTCATCACTTTAATAATGTTTAAAAGGTTAAACAATAAAAAGAGTATAACATGAAGTTTGTTGAACTGAATGTTATATAGTTGGTAATTTTATAATGTGAAGAAATTAAGAAAATGTATACATCCTCAGTATAATCTACTATGAATAAATCGTAAACAATTTTTAAAGGTAATTAGATGACAATAGTTAACCATAAATAGGGATGAGATTAAATTCAAAACCTTCTGAGGTCAACACTATACCCTATCAATCGTATGATATACTTTTCTTAGTAAAAACCTACAGAATATACAGTATTTTGTACTCTTCATTACACTTAATTTTTTTGGAAAATTATGTTTTGCTTAATGAGACCTATTTGACATTTATTTTAATAAATTGTGGAGATTCTACAAAATTAAAAAAATATATATGAAGTAGGATTTGTAAAGATGACTGTTAAATTTGAAGTGAATTTCCATCTTTCTTCAGGGAGTCAATAATAGCTCAAATAGCTCAGTAGTAAGGTCTCAGACTGTGAAACTGAGTGAAGTGTATTAGAAACCCATAGGCAACATCAATTCTCTTAGGATTACGTTTAAACTTTATTGATCAGTCTCAAATGACAGGAAATCCAGGCCCACGATTTATAAGTCAACTAACTACCTTCAATCAACATCTGGACATAGTGAATGTGACGTCGAGTCACTCAGACAAGTAGTCACATAGGAACTTAATTTATAGGACTTGATTAGCACTAGAAACTAGACAAATACAGTGTTGTGTCACTACTCAGTGATCAATCAATTGCAAACTAACACTAGCTATGAAACTACTAAAAAATTCTACGAACTTTTGGATAGACTTAAATAAGCAATAAAATGGCTATTCGATGCTGTTTATGTTTTCCCTGATCTTCCAATTGACATCAGTGAACAGTGAAAAACTAAACCTTATAATAATAGTCCTATACTTGATACTAATTAGGTTAGAGATAAAGAAACTCACCAACAAAAAAGCCGGCTCAGTAGTCTAAAGGTTTGGCGCACGAGACCGAAGGCCCTGGGTTCGAATCCCGAGTGCGGAATCATATATGCGCACTTCTCTGGAGTCCTATACTAGGACGAGACGGCCATTCAGTGCTTCCAGGTTTTCAATGATGGTCTAACATTGATCCATTCATGATCTCAATCAATGAAAAAGCAGACAATTGATCATATAATAAACTCTGACTGAACGGAGTTAACATTTACTTTTCTTTTTTAGTATAAGATGGTGAACTGAAGTTCTCTGAACAGAATCTCAGACAAGAACACATCATGATGAATGATTATTCACTGATTCATAAAACTACTATCTGGATATTCAGTAGTTGACCTGTATATGGACACAAATATCAGTTTATGCCGTAGTTGAACTCAAATGTATTTTATAAATTATTACTGAGGATAGATTATAACACATTGATTGAATACCATAAACCCGACAACATAATTCATACTAGCTGACGTTTTGGGACTCTAACCTATCTAATACTATGTGTAATAAGAGAAGTAAAGACATAACTGACTGGAGTACGAATGACATATGGAATCGATTTTTTTAAACAATTATCTGTAACATGTAATCACATACTGATAAGGAGTTTTAGTGATCCGGAGATCTGACTCGATTTAGATCGTTTCTGATTGCATAAGATTGTTGATCCAAAAAACGAGTGAAGAAACGAAGCATAATGGCGCGCGATGGAGAAGGTGTGTTAGCCAACTCAATTTAATCAAACGTTAGTCGATATTTACAGATAAGTTACAGACATGTGACGAAAAGATAAGAAATGCACACACATACACTTACATAAAAACAATCAAGGTTGGTAAGCAAATAATTAACAAGGTCAAGATGTGATTAAAGAAGAACGGATAGATTGGTCTATCCAGAAGCTAGAATAAGCTTTGTGGGCTTGACATAGCATCTGACACTACAGAGTAGTTGTATAGCTTGGTCAATTAGTTATATCCGTTATTTATAGGTTCCTGTGTGACACGGAAAATGTGTTTATATAGTAGGTTATTGATTAATTGATGGTACATACTACTTATTTCAAATTATGCAAATCTAACTGTAAATAAATCATATAAAAGTTTGTGTATTCAGATATTAGTTTCATTAATTTTCTTAGCTCAAATCACTCTTCGTGTTCTCATTACGCGTCGTTGGGTTTAGAGTTGAAGTGCCAAGCACAAGTCAGTTAAGCGAATCTGCAGACACGACAGTGACAGACGTGATAATATGTATTTACAGATCTTAAGATCTTGTCGTTCATAAAACAGCTTTGATAATAATAGAAGGATTTATTTTAATTGAAGTGAGCAGTAGGTATTAAATTACATAAATAAACCTATACACAACTTCATATTAGAAAAATATAATTATTGTAAGTAAATTTCCTAGAATCATTAATTGAAAATATCTTAGTTCTATAGGAAGTCAATCACAGGTTGAATCGCTCAGTGGCAACGTCTCAGTCCATGATATAGGTTTCAATCCCAAAAGAAGCATCTGTTCTCTCGAGATTGCAATTACGTCTTGCTGACAAGTGGCAACTAGTACGAAACCAAGTTTTAGTGTCTCCTGGTGATTGACTCCAACGATCTAACACAAATTATGGTTTCTAATTTATGTAAGTTAACGCATTTAGCGAAAACAGACTCAATTTATTAGTATAAATAATGAAATTAATTACAGTAGCGTATCATATTAATGTCAATTAACAATTATAATAATTCACCCTTGATTCAACCATTTATAAATCATAATACTAAATGACATTTTACAATCTATGGACAATACCTTTAATGACTGACTAAATAAGAGGAGAATAGTTTCAATTATCCTTATTATTTATATACTTTAATTAGTGGTTGGTATTATATCCCGATGCGAACAATAAAAGGTAACCGTTGGGATCTATTTATGGACTAATATTACATGTATCTTATTGTATTACTATTCAGTGAATATATTTATATTCTTTTCATTATAAGCTTTTATTTGACCTATTAACTATTACCATACAATTTGCCATTTTTGAAATATTCCTAATTTAGTAGTAGCAGCTTCTCACAATCACAGCTATTTTTGGCTAGATCTTGTACAAATGATATTTTCTATTTTATGGTGTGATATGGTTTGATTTGTTTGTATATAAACCCAGTATGTTTGAAATATACGATTGGTATCGTGGAGGCTGAGATTGGCGTTCTGGACTTAACAGGTATGGTTAGGCGGGAAAAAGACCAATTGGGACTATAGGCTGTTCATACAGGTGTATGCGTCATTAGTTAATCGTATAAGTCAGCGTATCTAAATTGGCAATCGTATTTCGCGATGATCGTATAGGTAAGGTCATAACAGTTGGAATTCGAAAAAGTGAACTTTTGGGTCGCACTTATTTAAGCTCAGCATTTAAAACAGAACGATATGGGAAGTTTACTGAAAAGAGTCAAATATAATCTCTAAATCCTTTGTTTAATGATATTTAATTGCAATTTATAGTAAAAACACATAAAATAAGGTAATTGAATATAAGGTTAAGCTAGAAATTTATTCAACTAGAATGACAGGTTGATTTTGCATTAATTCACCGCTTAAATGTAATTGATGTAACATCTAGTACATAGTGTTGAATGAATTCTATCGACTATGTAGTAACGTAGTCACTAGTTCAAGTGAATTAACAGTACAGTGACTGAGTCGATAAAGCGATGGCGTCTGAAGTGAACGGTACTGGGTTTGTGTCCCATAGTGAACATCAACTCTGAGATGCAAGTATATCTGGCTGAGGACTTCAAATTAGGACGAAACGCGCGTCTTGGAATCCACTGTAAGTCACCATCCATCTTTGCTTATAATGCTTGTGAACTAAGGCAATATCTAGGCAATCTGCACAGGATGTACATATTCCAATAAGAGACTGATCAACTACAGTCCTAAACATCAATAGGAAGACACAAACAAACAATACAAAATGAATCATTATAGTAGACATTTTTGAAGTTGGGTATTTGTAGGTAATCGATTGGAATCTCTTGTTTAATTCTATCGACTACACACAAATGAATATTATTAGACATATGACCGTAAAGAAAATGATAGTTTTAGTTTAGTACTTCATACATAAAATTTAGATTAACTGAACTAGAGACAAACGAAATAGGCTCCAAAAACAAACAGTTTATAAAATTCCTGTAATCATCTATACATTAATAAAATGTTGGTCGTATGTAAATGACGAATTTTCTGGAAACCTATAAATTTCTGAGACTAAAGAGTGGGAATCTAATTCAAATATTATTTACATATATAAATAAAATTTTCATTACATTAGATTTAATATAATCATTCAAATCGTTTTGAGTTACTCACAAGTAATATGAAAGTAAATATATAAAATTTGAAGCAGGGTTAAAGAATAGTTCATCAATTTGATAGCTATATGAATGCATTTCCTTAGTAATTAACTGATTTTACCATATAACAGCCAGCTTCTGGAACGTCTAGATACTAAGAAGTCTTACTTTATTTTCTGTTGATGTATCGATTTGTCCATATACCCCACTACTATATTGAAATACATGTAATAACTCAGATTAAACTATCGAAGTCTGTTCAGTGGTTAAAAGCTTTTTAAGACAAAAGAGAAAAATCAACAGAAGACTATTATTTTATTCAATTTTTTTGACACTTTTGCATATATTTCTTATTTGTAAGATTTCAGTCGTTGTAAAGTCAGGGATAAATCTACGAACAGCTCAGGAGTCCCATACTAGGACGAAACTGCCGTCTTGTGCTTCCAGGTTTTAAATAATGATCGGTTCACTAATCGGTTTATGATATTCACTAAAATTCAACAGTCCCCACAATTTTATATTGATAGTAGATTTATTACTTAAGTTGACGAAACTTTATGTACCTCGAATTCTAGTCTTTTATATTCTTCAATAGATTGATTTGTACTCGCAATAATCAAATAATCACCATTGTGGATTGTTCATAAAGTAGATTATGTCTAACAGAGTAGAAATTTTCATCCTAATTAGAGACTGTGGAGGTTCGACTAATTTAAAAATAGGTTCCATTCGATAAACGATACAATCCCGATCAAAAATTTGTACATCTTCATAGGGGACGTGAACAAAACTGACTATGAATACATATTGACATCTAGGAGTACAGTTTATAAGTCCTCTTTGGTAAAAGACCAATTTGGTACAGACGAATACTTATATGAGAAAATTATTCATGATCCATAAATTGTAAGTGACCGATAAGTTGATAAGTTAATTAATCTAGTGAAGATTATTTCTGGTAAAAGCCATAAACACTGAATGTTCGTAGTTTCACTAAACACAAATATATGGTAGGTTTAGTGTTGACAAAAATGTAGGATCTTTTTTCCAGCTTTCAGAAGACTGATGGATGAAATGTACTAACCAAAGTCAAAATAGACCAATGATAACCGACTATGATGTCGAGCGGCGTGACTTAGCATACCACAGGGAGTACCAGTTCCCTTTGGATTCCAAGTCCTCTTTGCTAACCTCGGTCTAGGGTTTCCTGACAACTATCTTCAACCACCCAACATATTAGTTTCCTTAGCCTAACATCATCAACATTAGTATACAATCAGGAAATAAGCATAGTATTTCGAATCAAATAACTTGTCTTCACAATTGATTGATCACTGGATGGTGATCGATGTCATATGTGTCAGACCCTTCTTAGGGTAGATCGAATGCTATCGACCAAGTTGAAATGTGGTCACTAGTCTCAGTGACTCGACATTGCATGACTTGTCTTAAATATCTAACAATGAATAAAACTTTCTATATGTTTGATCGATATTTGTATTGGATTCGTTTATTGACAGATTTCTATATATCCTCTCATAGTTTTGAGACTATATCTGTTAGTAGTTAAAGAAATATGAGTATACTTTGAGCTAATTCGAATACGTTGTTCAGTTAAAAGATTAACCACATGCCCGTGTAATAGGGGTTATATATATATATATATATATATATATATATATATATATATATATTGATAAATAGATTTATAGGTTTATACCTTCTTTTTAACAGTAAGTAACCTAGAATTTACAAATAACAATACTAATAAACATGTAAATATTGGTGCAAACGAATACCGGAATATGCCTGAGCCACACAATAAAAGTGATATCGTGAGGAGATAGAGAAAGGGATGCCTGGTAACTTATCAAGTCACTGTGTTCCACCATTCCTTGGACCCCCCCCCAAGAAAAAAGTCGTGGAGGACCAACAGAAGCCAGTTCTGTACAGCTCTATCTCATACCACGATACCATGTTATAAACTGACCGCCTCTCCTTTTTTCCAACCACTATCAGCGTCGGTAAATAGTGCACGAAATGCAATCTGATTGGGTGACATTCGTAGTACATGTCCAAGCCACCAAATTCAGTGTCTCAACATAGTGACACCAACTGAATTATAATCACTGTGCTCAAACACACATTTCCGAAACTCCGCATTACTAGCATGGTATTGTCAATGAATGTCACAAATATTTCTGAGATAAGGATGGTCAAAACAGAGAGTCACGACATAATCAACTTGGAGAGGCTTGGTTTCACAAAAATTGAGTAAAACTGCTCTCACTGATGCATTGTGAATTTGACTTCTTATAGTAAGACTGATATCATGAAAGCGCCAAAGATGGTCCAGATTATGACTAACCGCTCTGGCTTTCACTATACGTGAAGTAATCTTATCACCACCAAATAGCTATTTATTTTCCGACTCATACAGCTCCTTCCCTATGTTTATCAGTAGAACAGGGTGTATTCTCTTGTTTTCATAACTATTCAGATTAATGCAGTACGGCTAAAATATTGTTTGGAACTAACTTAGCCTTGATATTATTTCACGAGTGTTTCACTGTAAAGTGTGATAATTGCATAAAGATATCATCTTCATGACTAAGTATGCGCTTTCTTTATTCTCAACAATGTGATTCAGACTATTTTGTGAGGGTTTATATCTCTCCGTTATCGACGCTAAGGACTGTAATTGATTAGCCACTAATAGCATACGAACAACGTAGGTGAATTGCCTCAGTATTTCCATTCATTCAGAAGATGGTTAGTAGAAATATTGTGTCAATCCTTTCAGGAGATATATATAATAATGAAGACTGATCATCTGCAGTGCTTAACATCTACAATGAAAAGATCTAAACATTTTCAAATAAAATTCATAACCTAATGGCTGTTTGGATAACGCATTGATGCTTGGAGTGAAAGGTAGGATTCAAATCTCAGTGTATACATGAACACTGAGGTGCCAGTAGATTCAACCAACCAGACTAAATAGAATGAAACACTCTTCCTTAATCCCACTGTTAGAAACTCTCCAAAGTTAATAAAACTTTGATACATATTTATTTGTCTTAGTCGTTTGATTCTTCACCTTGACGTTTAAGAATGTAATTTATCAGCTTCTTTCGGCATATGTGCACTTAGCGCGAATTGTCTCGATGTCGCTACTTAGTCACAAGCATTCTAAACAGAGATAGAAGGTAACTAGCAGTGGAACCCAGGAAGCACGTTTTGTTATATTTGGAACTTGTCTTCTATATATACCTGCTTCCCTAAGTTAATATTCATTCTGTTATTCGAACCCAGTGTCTGTGCAGACTGTGTCCAGATTGCCATTAAGTTACAAACCAGTAGTTATCTAGATTCAGGAAGATAATGGTTAACACATTGGAGTGTGCAGCGAAATGCACTGGGTTTAAATACCAGAGATTGCATCAACTCCGATGGAGGTACACTCATTTGACAAGTACTAAATAGGATTAAACATACAATTTGGATTCCATCTTTTGCTACTATCCGTCTCTGCTTCAGATACTTTTGATAGATATTGTTACATGTAATAACAATCCAAACAATAACTATCAATTTTTTATTTAAGGAATAGAGAATGTAACTGTTTTTCATTTGATGGTATAAACAATCAATTCAAATGAATGAATCACAAGTTAAAATAGACTCACTTTGATAGTTGATGTTGTCCCGATAAATTTATTCAGTAACTGAATTAAAATAACACCAGTACTCAATTCAATAATTAAGTGTTTTGGATTAATTGGTAGACGAATATTTAATTCTTTATCGATTATCTATGAAAATCATTATCAATAAGAAAGATTGATTAAGAACTATTAAGAAATGAATAAAATGTTTATCATCATGATGTTGTCTTAATATGGAAGATTATATAAAAGGTACTAAGACGAACTGGTCTTGATTTATCAAAATCAATAGAATAGTCTTTTATAAATCATATCTTTTCATCCAGTATTCGGTTAACATGATACCCATGAACTTTTTAACAAAGTTAGTTTTTGTTTACACAAACAGATGATACTTAAAATAAATGATAAGTTCAAAATGTCAGAAGGGGATTTTGTGGATATTATAGTAATTTAAGTAGTTGAGATCATGAGTCAATTAAAGCTAGACCATCATGGAAAACCTGGGTTCGAATCTCACGAGGCGGGATTGTGAACGTGCAATATCGAGAAGTGCCACAATAGAACGAAACGGATGTTCAGTGCTTCCAGGTGATTTAACTTCAATTGACTCATTATCCCAACTATTGAAAAAGTTCAAAATGTCTTAAACTACCATTTATAACTAAAATTGAGAAGTTAAAATAGCAAATAAGACCCCTGAAAGTATGTAAAGAGAAAACAAAAACTACTAGGATTTGACATGAACTCATCAAATGTTACTGATTTTAAGTCAGTATTCAGGGGTTTAGACTTATTGATTGATAGATAAATAATAAGCTCAATTTATCGTTAAAGATCTAATAAGAAATAGCTTAAAACTTGTTTCACATGGAGTAACTCTTCATCTTACCCTAAGTTTGAGCTTGATGACGATTATTATTAAATACATTTAAATTCTTTAAACTTAATTCGTTTTACTCTAATCATGTTTTCTTTACGTTTAATGCATGATTATCTTTAAAGTTTTTGTTATTTCACCTCCTATCTAGCGACGGTGAATTGTGAATTTTTTTCAGTTTGCGATTGGGCCTACAATAGTTACTAATTACGACTGATTTAGGATATTTTTATGATACATAATCAGATCTACGTAAACTCAATGGAACGAATGATTGGCACACAACACGTCAACAATAATTCCAACGCAATGAAACACAAAGTTAAGGTAGGAGTTCAAGGGAACCATAGTGTTCAAAAGAAAAATTTATACAGGAACAAAATATTTACATATAGCTACTAACAATGACCATGGAACAAAACAGAATTAGTAAACTAAAAATAAGAACAATTAATCAAAAACAGCAAAGGTTATTGTGGAAATATGAACAAGAAAAAATGATATTACGATCTTTTATACATGTAAGAGCCATCGTTTATTAACAAAATAACAGATAACAGAATTAAGGCAATTTGGATAGGTCCTAGATCTTAATTTTTACCGGATCTTATGTTGGCTCTTAACAGAGTCCGTGAGGTGAAAAAATGAACTTTCAAAAACTTCAATTCCACCAAACTAGGAATTAAGATATATATATATGTAACTGATAGAAACAATGATGTAATCAGTATGTGTTGAGAACAAAAGAAGGAATTAATTCATTTTGACTTACTGTTCTTAATTGATTAATTCTTATTAAATCATCAGAATTTAATTCCTCCCATTTAACAGTATCCTTATGTGAATTCATTTTCATATACTTCAATGTATCTATATTCCGAATTTCACTTTTTCTACTGACATCTTCACTTAAATAATCAGTAGAAAATGTTATACTTGAATCTTGACAATGTGTATTTGTTGATTGTGGTTGATAATTATGTGAAGTTTGAAAGTTTTTAGGTAATTTTAAAGTACATTCTGAAGGCATACATAAAGCAACACCAACATGTGTTATTTTATTAGATATATCTTCATTATATAAACTATTTTTATGAGGATGATATAATAGTTGTGTATGATTTCTTTGATTAATCAACTTTTTATCATTATGGTATTGATTGAAATTTTGACTATGATATCCATTTGTTTGAGATCTATTACAATTTTCTGATAAATATGAATCTGGTGTTATATAACCAGAACTACTATGAACATTTCTATCATGTTCTATCTAAAATTAAATGTAATCGAAATGATCGAATTGATCAATTAAGATGTTAAAATAAACAATAAAACAATTGATAATATTTTATATAAAAAAACTATTAATATTTTAATTAAAACATTTAATGTTATTAGTCATGGTAACATATTTTCTGGTTAATACATTGTTAAAAGAACACCTAGTGAGATCTGCTTGAATATCTAGACTACCTGTTCAGCCCATCTGAATATTTCAACAAGTTATCTATTTTATTGTTTGTTTTAACACATCATTATGCCCATTAGTCGCATAATCGATTCAAGAACGTTTAAGACAAGTTTACGACATTTCGCTGTCCAAGTTACAGAATCGCCTAATCAGAGACAATGTAATTGCTGGTAATAAACATCGAAAAGAATATACATTATTTAGATGTTGATTCCTGAACTAATAACATTTAGCTGGAGACCATTCAATATTTATCGCAAGAACCGATCAAGAAAGAAGAAAATGAAACTTTTCGAAATAATTTGTGCTGAGAATTTTACTTTGTACCAAATATATAATATTGAATAAAGCCAATAATAATAATAATAAAACTGATAATAAAAATGGGGCGAATGAGGTTTCGACCTTATTAAAGATAGCCATATTAACGATATATATATGCGATTGAGAAGACGCTTGTAAGTTTTCAGCATGACACTAAATATCAAAATGAGAAACATTGATATGAAGTTAATTAAATGTTAATCGATCCTCACTTTGAGGAATCATCGGTTAATGAATTAATTCATTTACAAAAAGATTATTGCTTGTAAATATCGTCCAAGTTTTTTTTGAATAAAGTACTTTCAATTACTGTTCATGGTATGTTATGCATTTACCAATATTTCACTGAATAAACTATGTTTGTATAGTGTAACTTTGATACAATTATGTAGGTAATATCGTTATGAACGATTAAATCTGGATATTGCTTCAGAACCAGTGTATATCAATCGGTAATCTAAAATCAGATAAACTGTTAAAAAGGTTCACTTATATTAGAAGACAGATCTATGGCTCAATAAATACAAAATTATCATCCAACTATCCCAATTTGTACTAATTATAATTATAAGCAAGTTAATAGTCTACTAATCAAATTCTGGATATAATGAATACCAGTTTTTCGTGGATTATTTTAAGACTGTAAATGTTGCTCTATCAAAAGGTAGAGGATCTATGAAGATAGTTAATATTCGACCATAGATATTTTTAAAAAATTGTTACTTATGATATTTGAGCAGAAGTGATATGTTAGTAATAAATCGGTCAACTTTTCATGAAAGTACTGAAGAGAGAAATCTCTTCATTAGTATCCATAAATGACTACTATTCTAAACAGTATTTAAATGAATTGATTGTCAAGGCATGTTGTTAATATATGCTCCCCTGCCTGTTTCGTATTTTGAACATCAAAAATATTTGAATTGCTAGAAAGCTGGCAGATCGAATAGATGTTCGGCGTTATAATTTAATTGGTAGCTGCTTCTATATCGTGTAAATTATTATTATTATTATTATTATTATTATTATTATTATTATTATTATTATTATTATTATTGTTATTACGCAAAATGTTCTGTGGAGTGAATCAGTTTGATTACGGATGATTACATGTAACAAGCGACTCTGAATTAAAAATGAATGAAGGCAGAGAAAGTGATTTTTGCCCATATTTTGTTATTATTACCAATCAGGGTGGGACAATAATGTTTACTATCCCGTGAATGAATTGTTTGCATACAAGTCGTATTAGTATAACAGAGACGTTTTATGGTTGGATAAAGTATAAGATACAGCGTCAATGACACTAAAAAATGTCCCGGATTCGATTGAAATCAGAAAGCTTCATTACTTTGCATCAGTGACTCCTTGAAATAAAAAAACGTTTACTTTGAAAGTTTAGTTTGATTCCATTTAAAAGAGGTTTTATTCATTATATATGGTCGAATGATAACATAGTCTAACAGTATTTTTGTGACGGTAAAGTAGTTGAATTCAGATCCTGGAAGTATTTCTAATGAATAATAACCCCAAAATATTTAAATTCAAATATTAGTTTTGAAAGAGTATTTACGGAACATTTTATAACTAGTGGATTTCGAACAAAAAATCATTCTCATTGTAATATACTAATACACTACTCATGAGTAGCTAAACTCCTTTCTCTGAATTTCCAAACCTCAGAAATCACTTTTGTTGTCTTCATCATATCAGTTAGGAAACATGAGATTTATTTCAAGTTTAAGAAACAAACTTCGAAGGTTTCTGTACGAATATACAAATCATGCATCCAATCTAAAACTGTTCTGTGAAAAACAGAGTTTTTCATTAAAATATAGCTAGGTAGTTGTAAGATACAGATTAACATTTTCTTTACACTCAGTCTAGATTTACAAAATCTTAATAAGTTATTAAACGTCTCATGAGAGAAAAACTTACTGGATATTTGTTCACTTACGATAATTTATTTTGAACAGTAGTTTTTGACCCTCATGAATTATTTAGCCGACAAAAATACAGTTTGAATATATAACACTTACGTTACCAAACAAAATATCTTTACAATTACTTAGGTAATAAGCATTTTGCTTAGTAATAGTAGAACGGGGATAATTTAAATAAACGTGTGTTATGGTACTAAATAACATGGAAGCAAAGTTATCACTCACTTGTTGACGTTTAGAATAACGTAACCGAGTATGACTAGAAATGGGACCACCTTTATCACGTCGATCGTATTTAAAAGAAGAATGATTTGTTGGACAATCTTTAATCTGACCATTTTTAGTTGGTTCACAAACATTACATGGTGTTTCATTTCTAATGATATAACTGCTAACTGTTTGTACTACTGAAGACTCTACTGCTGAATCATTCCCATTCAGAACCGTTGATACTATTGCCTTCTTTGTATTGTCATTGACGGGAGAGATAGGTTGCGTAACTTTAAAAAAATTATCACATTGTGATATGTATCAAAAAAATTAGTAGATGAATTAAAAATTTGATATTTAAATCAGTCAGAAATGCATCTTATAAAACAACATATACTTCGACCAAGAACATACGTAGTACCAATGTCATTTTTATGTCCCATACATATATACAATCTAAATCTCGATATTGTATACATATATGGATAAGTATGATGATCAGATCGAAAGAAATACTTTCCATACATTTAGTTTAAATCATAACAACTTAAGAATAAAGTGACGTTCTTATCAAATAAAATGAATAACTGATAAGTAGTACCTCTACACAGTTAATAATTGTTGTGTAATAAAATGAAACGTTTCATAGCCATTAAAAAGTAACAACTATTACAGAATGACATCTTCAGTCAACCTAAGAATAAGAAATACGTATGAAGTAGTTGGTAAACATTAGTCGAAAGTAACTCACTGCATTATATCGATAAAACAAAAAAGGATATCGACAATACAATTGAAAAATAATCTTGCAAAATCATCAGATTAACAAAAAGAGGCTATGCATAAGAATTCTAGATCGAAAGCATTTCTGAGCATAGGAAATAAGATATGAGTATTACTATGTGTAACTATAGGAACGCATCGATTTTATGTTTTGTTTATATCAGAGAACTGATTATTGTACAAGCAAAATGTTTGTGTACTTCCAAGCTAAGACTTTACAAAATATTAGTACAAACGGACACCGAATACATATGCGCCACATAACTGAAGTATACACCTTACTCAAAACACCTTTTATTTGTTTGTATTTTTACAACTGTGAGTAAAACCAGTAAATATAATTGGGAATGAAATAATAATCGAATTTAGATACAGTACAATATTAGTTTACTGACACCGTAAAGTGATGAATTAAAATGAAATAGGTCGTAAGAAAGCTTTTGTGAATCCGTCGATTATCTGTTGACTTGTTTTGACATCAAATTTGAGTTAGTTTTACAACTCTATAGTTTTCTACATGTATACAAACACAAGAGAGATTATTTTATTATGTTTAGTAATTTTTGAACACATTTAGATATGTACAAGTGTTTGTTGGTTCAAACAATTCATCAAAGTATTTTAGTCATTTTTAATTGTCAAGTTACGAGCAAAAAATTGACATTTAACCGTTTTGAAAATCTATTATCCTTTCATATTGCTTTCTTGAGTGCTGTTAGAGGTATGAGGGCGGTTATCAATTCCCGGTTGCCCACACCATGGAAGGGTTCTTCTGGAGGTACCTGAAAAGGAAATTGAATTAGAGGTGGTGGTGACCTGAGAGCGTGACCGCAGTACCCAACGGACAACTGCATGAAGTCGGTCACACACGACCTTTTTATGGGTAATTTTTGTGTTAGCTTGTTGAGACCTTACCGCCGGAGACGGATATCCGTGGGATAAGGCGAGGTGTGTACTTTTAGGGCCGATCTTTTCTAACCCTGCCCACCCCTTCTTGTAGGAAGGCAGCATCGCTGTCATGCTGGTTGTCTGAAGGAAAAACCTTACTACTGTCACACCTCTGTACAGTCAGCAGTACGACTTCGCCTTCGGACCTTAGTTTTGTTGCTTTTAGTTTACCGCTCTTCAACCGACCTGTCTGACATAGTAGGACCTTGAGGAACGGTTGTTCCAGCCAGTATAGCTCGGTTGATTCATCACGATAGGCAAGCCCGATCATCACGTCTAGGTAGCAACGACGGTCGGGTCATATTGCTTTAAATATATTTGAAGACTTTCCCCAATCAAACAACATGATACTTATCAAACTTACATTTCAATTAAAAAAAGAATACACGATTGAATAGTATGCAGGGCTAGATAACTATTTCATCTCAGTTCGGACAAACAATCAAATCAATGACTTTTAATTCTTGAAGAAGGGATATAATATTTTCCAGCTAATGAGTTGATTTGAAAATTTCACTTTTAGCCACATTTTTTAAAATACACTATGACTAGTACACAATGATATTGTTGTCTTGATTTTAATATTTCTAACTGAACAGATTATATGTTTTGTCTAGGGCCTTAAGAACTTCACTAGCGAGCTAAAAATCAATTTTTAATAGTATAATGCACTGTTTAACTCCACCTGTAGCTCTCCCAGAGTTACAGCCGGTCCCAATCCCGGGTAAAGGAGGAAGGTTAGATATGGGGTCGGCGACTGCATCCCATGAAAAACTAACTAGTTAAAAACACGCTAACCAGAATTAATTCACTGTTCATTATTATCACAATCTACGGATCATTGTGAAACAATCAATTGAATGGAATTCGTCACTCTACATCAACTTCATTGACTATGAGAAAGCATTTGACAGCGTGGACAGGACAACACTATGGAAGCTTCTTCGACACTACGGCGTGCCTCAGAAGATAGTTAATATCATACGGAATTCCTATGATGGATTAAACTGCAAAATTGTGCATGGAGCTAAAAAGACCGGTGTCAGGCAAGGCTGCTTACTCTCACCCTTTCTCTTTCTCCTGGTGATCGACTGGATCATGAAGACGTCAACATCTGAAGGGAAGCACGGGATACAATAGACATCTAGGATGCAGTTAGACGATCTAGACTTCACAGATGATCTGGCCCTTCTATCCCAAACGCAACAACAAATGCAGGAGAAGACGACCAGTGTGGCAACAGCCTCAGCAGCAGTAGGTCTCAATATACACAAAGGGAAAAGCAGGATTCTCCGATGCAACACAGAATGCACCAATCCAATCACAATTGACGGAGAAGATTTGGAAGATGTAAAAACCTTTACATATATGGGCAGCATCATTGGTGAACAGGGTGGATCTGATGCAGATGTGAAGGCGCGGATCGGCAAAGCAAGAGCAGCATAATTACAACTGAAGAACATCTGGAATTCAAAGCAACTGTCAACCAACACAAAGGTCAGGATTTTCAATGCAAATATCAAGACAGTTCTACTGTCTACTGGGGCGGAAACCTGGAAAATTACGAAAGCCATCATCCAGAAGATACAGGTGTTTATTAACAATTGTCTACGCAAAATACTTCGGATTCGTTGGCCGGGCACTATTAGCAACAACGTACTGTGGGAAAGAACAAACCAGATCCCAGCGGAGGAAGAAATCAGGAAGAAGCGCTGGAAGTGGATAGAACACACATTGAAGAAAGCACCCAACTGCGTCACAAGACAAGCCCTCACATGAACTCCTCAAGGCCAAAGGAGGAGAGGAAAACCGAAGGACACATTACATCAAGAAATGCAGATAGACATGAGAAAAATGAACAAAAATTGGACAGAACTAGAAAGGAAGACCCAAGACAGAGTAGGTTGGAGAATGCTGGTCAGTGGCCTATGCTCCATTAGGAGTAACAGGCGTAAGTAAGTAAGTATTATCACAATAATTTAATGATCATCAATGAATTCTATTACCATGAATGATACAAATTTATTTCATTTATTTATTTATTAAGGTATTTAACAAAACAATTTGTATAAGTGAATAAATATTTTTGTTTAAAATTGATTTTAACTATGAATAATTAGAAATGTAGATTTATCTTTTTCATAATCATTAGACAAATTCAAATGATTATGACAATGTAATAAGACTATAGTGAGATATGATTGATTGATTTGATTTCTATAATATTACTACTCAAAATAGTAATTGATAGAAGTAAAAGAAAAAAAGAAATAAAATGAATAAAGTAAATAATAATGGAAACATTTTTTGATGGAGTTTTGTGTCTCTGAGCTGGATGGTTTGGTTATGGAGCTTTTATCGTTCTTCTGAACGACATCATCAGTACAAACTTCAAATAAAATCATTCACCTGAGCTACAAATTTTCTCCACCATCTCAATAATGGAAACTTATATTGAATTTAATGTTTTAAAATAAACTATTCAAATATGATACTAATGAACTCACCTTGGGAATTATTGATAGTTTGTGTCAATCGTTGTGAAATATTTGATGTTAAATAGAAAACTTCATTTTCATTCTTATCAAGAATAACATTCTGTAACATAGAAACATAAAAAAAAGAAAAAAAAAGAATTTCAAGTCTAGACAATAGAACTATGATAGATTTTCATTCTATATTATCATATCTTAATTGTATCTTGCTTAGTAAATGTTTGCTTCAATAAAATTGATAGTTAAACTAAAAATATAATAAAATGCATACAATCTATTCCATAATAATATAATATAACTTAGAAATTGAATGACTAAACTTTTTATGAATCCTGTGTCTTTGGTTGAATTCCCACGTAAGAAATTGTTCATGTTCACTATTGAGTAGTTGCATATTTAAACAAAACGATGATCTAGTACTTATAAGTATTCAATAGTGATATAACTTAGATTGATTTATGATTTTAAAGAAATTTTACAATCTTCACAACCCTTTACTGCTAGTTTTTATGAATTATTGATTGATAGATTATTATTAAGGCGTTAGAATGTATTACATTCCAAACATTTACAATCTTTTATCTTGATGTCTTTTGCCTCATAAGCAAATGGTTAGTCACAATCCATAGGTCTGTTGAGTAACTCTTCAAAGACTTGGGATCATCTATGTTATTGTATTTTGCATAAATATCGTACTTCATTGGAATATCGTAAATCAGTTTGAATAATGAGACTCTGACAATTGTTACGGTGGGTATTTCGCATAATATCTTCAGAAGATATTCCATTAAAATAATATATAAAAGTAATCTAACAATGTTTTTTTCTATAACGAATTATGCACTAATCGCTTTGAAGCAATGTTAAACATATGCTTTAAATAAAAGTTGAACATTGACAAATTCTTTTGACATTGTCTATTAGTTGTGAAATATTTTCTTTTATTATTAGCTGACTGATATAACCAAATACAGAGTGAACTTCACATCTCATACAAAGACCTATAATGGTCTATTACTGAACTGGAATTAAAAAAGGGGCAGAAAATATATTTTCTGTTATTCGGAACAGTAAGTGTGTTTACTATACATATCAATAAGCTACACTCTGGTGTTTGAGTTACACTTAATGTTTTAAAATACTACCCTTGAAATACTTAAGCCGAAGCCGATATAAAAAGAGGCAGATATATTAAAAAAAATTCTATCAAAAAGTATTGTCTTTATAAATATGTACGGAGTCGTACTGGTATGTTATTCACTATTCAAGCAGAAGTCAATTCTAAATAATCCTAATAATAAGATTCTTCTGACAGATAGACTTTCAGAATTCTTTCTATTTGGTTGAGTCGCAATTTCAAAGTAGAGTTTTCCCACTTATCAATGCAGTAAATTGTAATAAAATAATTTGACAAAAATATTGTACGACATAGAAAAATAAACACTGATTCTCCCATCGTTCTATCTGTATTAGTTATAACAATTGATAATTTCCTAAATATATTATAGAAGTTTTACTGCTATCGTACTATATGTACCTAACAATTTAAAGATACGGTTGAACTCCACTGGTCACGGTTTCTTATTAGAACTCCAGGAAATCCATCTTGAAGCTAGTCACTAGTGAGCATATGATAATTATCAGTATAAGGTTGTGAAGATTGTTGAGTTTAGATTGATATCTAAAGATAAATCAAGTGTACTTCTAAAATTAATCACTGGAAAATTTTACTTCTTAACAATGTGATGCGTTGATTTATCATGAGAGAATACTAAATGTGATATAGGTATAACTAGTGCTTAAAAAACATAGAAAAGAAATTATATATGCAATTTTTTAAGGTACATTGGTTCCACAATTATTTTTATTTTTGGAATAATTGTTTCGCATATGACGAATCAAAAAGTACGATATCTGGTTTTATTTTTAGCTAAAAGAAACCTTGTAATAGATTGGTAACTCATCTTTCAAACTTTACGGTTAATGGTATGATCATCATTTCGATAATCAGGTGATGGGTTTAATTTGACATTAGTTACTAAGTATCAATCATTGTTAACCATTATTTACCTAAAATAGCCTACTGAGATTAATTTAATTACCTTAGCCTGTTTTAATGCAATGGTTTACATTTTACAAACTTTTGTTAAAAGCATGCCTGTATAGCAAATCACTGAAGTTCTACATGGAATACAATTCCAATATAACTCAATCGACAACACATTAATTTTTGATTCAAAGTTATAGTTAACATTTTAAACATGTTACATACGGCGACAATAATGATTTTATTCATTTACGATACTACGTGTAATCGATTTACATTTTAATCACTACAATGAAATTTAAACGTACAATCACTGTGTGAAGTCACATACATTTTGAACTGATCAACAGTAGCAGATGCAAACTTACTGGGTAACAATAACGATATCATGTAGGCAACCATAAAAAAATAAGTGAAAATTAGTCACAGAGACTAGTATATACATATAATTCTCAGAATAATATAAATTGAATCAGCAAGTTAATTAGGAAAGATGACACATCCCTAGAAATGAATTTATAACTTTCGATGGCTTGGTAACATATTCATACTTAGTTCTAATCGCTATAGCTTAAACAACCGAATAGTTTCATCAGTTTATATACAAATTATGTTGCTGTTTAAGTACAAACAAGAGCTTTTAATTAGCCATAGTATTGCCTCACTATTATTATTATTATTATTATTATTATTATTATTAAATTTTCATGTTATTATTAAAATGACTAGTCACTACACAAAAAGATTGTATGCTGGTTTTTGGTGTAAAATCCTACTCAAACATTTTGTTACATAATGGTCTAAATTGATTTTTATTGGCTACAATAAAGGAGAAAATTTATTGCGTCAACCGATTGCAATTAGAATGACCTTGGACAGGTTGTTGTACTAACATCCACATACTTATAAAGCGTATAGGATGACTAATACACACGACACATTATGTAATTTTCCATACTATACTGCAATTGTATCAATCACTTATTACCATAGTTTACTCGATGAAATATATACAGGTTGTGACAACGTTACCATATGAAGATAAAACAAAAGTCTTTGAGGAGTATTCATTTCACAGATTGAAATCATGAGTCAATTGAAGCTAGACCATCATGGAAAACCTGGAAGCACTGGACGGCCGTTTCGTCCCAGCATGGGACTCCTCAGCAGTGCGCATCCACGATCCCGCACCCCGCGAGATTCGAACCCAGGACCTATCAGTCTCACGTCAGGCGCTTAACCAAACAGACCACTGTCAAAGAAAATTATAACGTCCTATAGATGATAACGACAGAATTACCTTTATTTTGTATTCAAAAAATTAAAAAAATTACATTCTCAATGTAATGTGGGTCAATGATTCTTTCTGTCTACATCGACGTTAAATTATATTACAATAATAGGTCGAAAGATTTTTTATGGTTACTGTATCACTATGAAATGACCCAAATTTGAGTATTGTCCTATCGAATTTAATCAACAAAGAGCATAACACAAATGTACATTATCAAATCACATTGACAAAACGATATGAAAGTAATAGGATCCATAACAAAAGAAACTTAATTTATGTAGTCACAATAAACATTTCGAATATATTTTGAAAAGTAAAAAGACATACATGAAGGAATATTGGAATTCAAGATCGAGATCCTAGCTCTTAGTTCGGTCGCCCTTATTATCAGGAGGTGAAAGTACATTGTAGAAAAACATATTCGTCAAGAATTATTGTACAATAATAGAGTAATGTACAAAAAAAAGAAAATATAAGTAAGAAACATGAAGTATATCTACAGAAAATATTCTTAATTCATCTTTATGATTGTTTAAAACTACAAAAAATGTATTAGTAAAAGTTATCATTGTTGTACTCTTGATGTTACATTATATTTATTTATTTATTTAAACACATAAATAAAGGTGCAAGGAGGCACGAAATAGATATGAGCCACATAAATCATTCATTTTCTGTGAGGGCTGAGATACTGTCCGGGTGCCCAAACCGAAGTAGGTAGTTTTCTTAAAAGGCCACACCTGGAGCCTTCAATCTAAAAGTCTGATCCACAAGGCAGTGGAGCAACACCAGGAGATGCAGTCCCATGATAGTCGGTGACCAACAATTGGTTCATACGCCATTTACTTACTTACGCCTGTTACTCCTCGTGAAGCAGCATAGGCCGCTCACTAGCATTCTCCATCCAACCCTCTCCTGGGCAATCCTTTTCAGTTCTTTCCAGTTGTTATTCATTCTTTCCATATGTGCTATTTTCTGACGTAATGTGTTCTTTGGCCTTCCTCTTTTCCGCTTCCCTTCATCATTCCAAGTTAGGGCTTGCCTCGTGATGCAGTTTGGTGATTTGCGTAATGTATGTCCTATCCATTTCCATAGTATTTTCCTAATTTCTTCTTCAGCTGGAAGCTGGTTTGTTCTCTCGCACAGTACACTGTTACTGATGGTATCCGGTCAATGGATGTTGAGCATCTTGCGTAGACAACTATTTATAAATACTTGCACCATCTTGATGATGGTTGTTGTAGTTCTCGAAGTTTCAGCTCCGTACAGTAGAACTGTCTTAACGTCTGTAATAATGACTCTGCGTTTGATATGGGTTGACAGTTATTTTTAGTTCTATATGTTCTTCAAGTGAAGGAATGTGACCCTTGCTTTGCCATTCCTCACCTTTACGTCTGCATCTGATCCTCCTTGTTCATCGATGATGCTTCCCAGGTATGTGAAGGACTCTACATCTTCCAGAGTTTCGCCATCAAGTGTGATTGGATTGCTGTTCTCCGCTCTGAATTTGAGGACCTTAGTTTTCCCTTTGTGTATGTTGAGGCCTACTGACGTAGAGACTGCTGTTACATTGGCTGTCTTGATCTGCATTTGTTCGTGTGTATGCGATAGGCGGGCTAGGTCATCTGCAAAGTCCAAATCGTCTAATTGGTTCTGAGCTGTCCATTGTATTCCGTGTTTTCCTTCAGATCTCGAGGTCTTCATAATCCAGTCGACCACCAGAAGAAAGAGGAAGGGAGAGAGTAAACAGCCTTGTCTGACTCCGGTCCTTACTTGGAATGCATCTGTCAGCTGTCCTCCATGCACTACTTTGCACTGTAGTCCGTCGTATGAGTTCTGGATTATATTGACAATCTTCTCAGGAACTCCGTATTATCGAAGAATTTTCCATAACGTCCTCCTATCTACACCGTCAAATGCCTTTTCATAATCAATGAAGTTGATGTATAGTGACGAGTTCCACTCAACTGATTGTTCGACGATGATCCGTAGTGTTGCAATTTGGTCTGTGCACGACCGATCCTTTCGGAATCCAGCTTGTTGATCTCGAAGTTGGACGTCTACTGCATCTTTCATCCGGTTCAGCAACACTCTGTTAAAGACTTTCCCTGGTATTGACAGTAGTGTGATGCCTCTGTAGTCTTAACATTTGCTCAGATCTCCTTTCTTTGGAATCTTGATGAGGTGTCCTTCTTTCCAGTCCATCGGCACTTGTTCCTCCTCCCAAATCTTTTTGAACAGAAGGTGAAGCATGTTTTGTAGTTACTTCGATGTCTGACTTCAGTGCTTCAGCTGGTATGTTGTCGGGTCCTGCTTCTTTCTCGCTCTTGATTTGTCTGATGACCGGCCATTCTGATTTCTTCTGTCGTTGGTGGATTGACATCTATAGGAAGATCTGTGTATGCTGCTTCAATGTCCGGTGGATTCATTGGAGCCGGTCTATTCGGAAGTTCCTCGAAGTACTCTACCCATCTGTTCCGCTGTTGTTGAATTTCAGTGATTGGCCTGCCTTATTTGTCCTTGACTGGTCTCTCTGGTTTACTATATTTCCCTGTTAATTTCTTCGTTGTATCGTAAAGCTGTTTCATATTTCCTTCTCTAGCAGCTTTTTCCGCCGTCTTTGCTAGTTCTTCCACGTACTTCTTGTCGACTCTAATGCTCTTCTTCACTTGCTTGTTTGCTTCTATGTACTCAGCTTGTGTTTTGACTTTCTCTGTTCGTGTTCGGATGTTGTTAATTGCTGTCTTCTTGTTCTTCCTATCTTTCATTCTGTCCAGTGTTTCTATACAGATCTATTCCTTATGATGATGCTTCTTCAGGCCCAGAACTGAACCTCCGGACACGTTGAAGTTAATGCTTCTTTGATACCTTTCCAGTTGTCCTCCATAGTAGTTTCTTCTTCCTTCAGTAGATCCTGTAAGGCTTGCAACCTGTTATTGAGAGCTATCTTGAATTCATGGAGTTTGTCAGTATGTCGAAGGAAGGCTGTATTGAACCTTTGTAGTGCTGTTTGTCCAGTTGTCCACTGCTTCTTTAGCTTCAGTCTGAAATTGGCTACAACTAGGTGATGATCTGAAGCTATGTCAGCTCCTCTCATGCTTCTCACATCTTCCATTGTCCTTCGGAATTTTTTATTGATGCAAATATGATCTATCTGGTTCTCTGTGGTGTGGTCCGATGAGCTCCATGTAGCTTTGTGTATACGTTTGTGTGGAAATATTGTGCCTCCTATGATCAATTTGTTGAATGCACACAGATTTGCAAATCTCCCCTCATTTCCGTTTCTCTCTCCCAGTCAATCCATGTTGTCCGATTATATCTTCATATCCGGTGTTGTCTGTCCCGACTTTGGCGTTTAGATCTCCCATCAGAATGGTGAAGTCCTTTCTTGGGCACTTCTCTATGATTGATTGCAGCCGTTTGTAGAATTGATCTTTAATGTCGTCGTTGGTATCATTGGTGGGTGCATAACATTGGATAATATTCATTGTGATCCCCTCCTTCTTTGTTTTGAATGATGGTTTGATGATTCTGGGTGCGTGAGATTCCCATTCTACAAGTGCATTTTGTGCTACTTTGAACAGCATTAGAGCAACTCCCTGAGTGTGTGGAGCATTTTCCTCTTCGTGACCGGAGTATAGCAGCATCTCTCCCGTATTTAGTCTTTGTTGTTCAGCTTGGGTCCAATGGGTTTCGTTGATTCGCAGTACTGCCAAGTTTTATCTCCTCATTTCCGTTGCTGTTTGACTGGTCTTCCAGGTCTCCCACATTGCTCGCACGTTCCATGTACCTATAAAAATCGTTGCTGTGGTTGTTAGAAGGGGCATCGGCCTCGTGGCTTCCGAAGGAACTCGGCTTTCAACATGAAGCGTCATATTTATTCTAAATGAAGACCTTCTCACTCCCAGGTAGAGTTTAAATGGTTTGAATTATTTACTCTGGTTAGGGTTTTTTAGCGAGTTAGTTTTCTACGGGATGGGGCCACTAACCACATGCCCAACCCTCCTCCTTTGCCCGGGATTGGGACCGGCAGTAACTCTGGAAGAGCCATAGGTGGAGTTTCATACGTAATTTTTTCCCTCAGGGTAATGGGGCCCATGTGCACCATTGGTTTGGAATCAGGGTTTTCTAACTGCCCTAAGAGGACTCTGCGTGTCCACCAACCCGGTTGAAGCGCTAGACATTCGCTTTTTCTCTCGGAATTTTTTAAACAGCATCCCCGTCAAGTGAAGGAAGTGAGTAGGACTTCCGTGGCAGTGGTTGTATGCACGTGGCCATGTGAGAGTGAACTTTCCCCACTCTCAGCCGTACCAGGGCATTATAGTCAGCCTTCAATAACAGTTCAAACAAACTATTTTAAAAAATACCAAAGTCAATACAAGATGTTATGTAGGTGTAAACAATACAACTACGTATAAAGGTTTTAATTAACATGTATTCAAAACAACATCTGGAACACTTGTAAAATGAATTGGAAACTGAATAACGGATTAGACAATAGCTGAAACGATGGTTATTATGATAAAGTGATATAAATCATTATTGTTATAGAATATGTTTTCATCAAAGCACCTAAACTGCACTTAGAATAATTCAATTCAATAATGTAATGTATTAATTGTTCATTTTCATTGTATCTAGGCATAGATACATTTTTCAATATTGGGATTAATTAAACGGCAGATAATACGCCTAAATTCAAGTCATATCATCAATCTCCTAAAGATGATATATTTTTGCTCAGATTAAGTATATTTCTATTATGAACATTATATCTAGCAAAAAAACACATTCAAATAATTGTGTTCAGAAATTCATTCTACTATTTATATAAAGCTAAACAAAGTCCCACCTACTATGATTTCAACAAACAAAAAGTATCAGTAGTATATACAATTAATTGAATCTATACAAATCAGTACATTTGTTACATTGGCTACGTTTATACACATAATATTATAACTAAAACAGTTAAATTCTATCCTTTTTTGTAAAAATGTACTTGAAAATATTTAGCATACAACTTTGCTAAAAACACTACTAAATTTCACTAACTTAAACAGATGAATACAATCATTCAAGATTATTCAAAGATTTCAACAATATTCTTCCATACACCATAAATAACTACAACATCACATGTTTTGATAGATAGTATCTAATTCACATTTAAAGTGCATGATTCAATGTAGTGGTTGATTCTTATCCCCTTTCCATAATTAACAAATGTTTAATTTTAATCAAAAATGAATTACATTTTTTTGTTTCTTAACACCAACTTGTAATCGAAGTAATTCCTTCATTTCTATGGTTATTATTCTTATTTTATAAAGAGAAATAAGTTAACACTTTATATAAATTAAAATAATAAATTATAATAATAAATCAATTTATTCAATGTTTAATTTCTAAAACAAACTGAATAATACTGTTTCCATGCCCATTCAACTAACATTCGACTAGTAGAATATAAGTAACCTAGTTACTAGATGATAAATTTTTCTTCATTAATTTTTGTTTTTGGTAATAGGAAATAATAATACTGATAATATAGCCGTTGTGTAAAAATATTTTTTGATTGTGAATCTATAGGGTTATAATTTAAACTGTTTTGGTCAAAAGTTCAATGTATTGTATGAGATATATACAAAAAAAATGGGCGGATTTTACAAACAATTCCTAAGGTATAGACAAATTCTAACCCATTTGTCTGTTAACGATGATGTATATACATATTTAAGTATTTATCTCTTTGTTTGTTTGTAAACATAATGTAAATACATACATTAAAAGAAAGTTATTCAAATCAACTTTACTGCTTAATCATATATAGAATAGAATGTAAATGAACTATTGATACAATCAATGTTAATTTCCTAATGTGTTCTAGAGTGAATTTTCTACTTGGTACAATTCTCAATCGATTAACAAGCAATATTAGTAGTATGCAATGAAGAAGTATACACAATGATTGAATTGTTATCCTTAAATAAAAAGAAAAACGAAACTCCTAATTTAACAAATCATCTAGATTCAGTCCAGCTAATTAAAACTAACTACAGATTGAGTCTGTTGGATAAAGTTATTTAATGGGTGGGACAACAAAATAGTAGTGTTGATTGTGAGAATATGGTAGAAACGGAAAGAGAGAGTTTGAAATAGTAAAAGATAAACTGTTTGATAGAATAAAAGCAAACCTTATGATGAAACGTATATCAGTAATTATTGTTCATTTATAAATAGAAATGGATAATAAGTAATACAGCTATTATATGACTTACATAATCCCTGCCATTAGGTTCGAAATTATACCACATAATGTCAGAGACATTACCATTAGGTTATTTCAGCCCCAACAGACCTGTCAAAGTAATCAATTCATACTGAATACTAGCCTATGTCATTTTTCTAATCCGTACTTCCAAGTGAATGATAAAGATTAATTTGAAACGTTACCACCAAACTAAATGAATACATTAATACTGAACCTATTTTTCATGTTATGTGGTTGAAGATAATCAGATTCCTGCTGATATCAAGCCATTTGTACTAGTAATCTGATAGATGGTATTCGATCAGCATTATCTAACAAAAAGCATAACATCGGTTACATAACTATTTTTAGCTTAGAAACGCTGTACAGATTTTGCAACAGTTTTCTCAAACATTTATGTTAATTGTTTTCAATCAGCTGATGACTCTGTAAAAATATACATAAAAATTTAAATTTATATCAGTATAATATAACATACCTCATAAGCAGAAGAATACATATTCATTGTTAGTGATTCATTATCATCAGTTGATAAAGAACTAAATGACGATCCAGATTTCAATGTTTCATTTATACAAGATTGTGTTGATACATTATGACTAAAATTCTCAATACAATTATAGTCATTTGAGTGTAGTTTAGCATTTGGTTTATCAAATTGTTCATTCTTGTTATTTGTTGTTGAATAAGTAAAGTTTTGAATTGTCAACGAAGGACTTTGAGTAGGATATTTTATTCAGTTTTATTATTTTTTTTTCAAAAACATAACAAAATAAATAATAATAATATGGTTATGTGATTGGAATAAATGTTTAATTTTAATGAGATCAGTTAAAATAATTGATAGAGTAGAGTTGTTAAGGTTTCAAATTATTAGCTAAAACTTTTTGATTGAGATCATGAACCGATCGATGTTAGACCACCATTGAAGGCCCTGGGTTCGAATCCCGCGAGCGGGACCGTGGATGCGCACTGCTGAGGAGTCCCACAATAGGACGAAACGGCCTTCCAGTGCTTCAAGGATTTCACTGGTGGTCCAGCATTAATCGGTTCATGATTTCAATCAAAAACTTAACAATCTCCACAACCCCTATACTGATATTAGCTATAACATTTAACTGACTGTTAACTCTGGAGGGTGAAGATAAAATCACTCGACTATGGATGTTAACAACATCTTAAATGCCCCCAAATGCCCTGGTACGGCCGAGAGTGGGGAAAGTCAGTTGTCCCTCTTGAAATGCTTTCACGTGGCCACACGTATACAGCCACTGTCAGTAAAGTCCTACACACTGCTTTCTCGCGGCACCGGTGTTGTCTGCAAAATTGAGATGATGAAAAGCGAATGTCCAGCGCTTTAACCAGCTTGGCGGAAACGATGAGTCCACCTAGGGGAGTTGGAAAACCCTGATCCCAAATAAAATGATCCACGTGGGCTCCAATATACTGAAGGAACAAATGGCATATGAACCAATGGTTGGTCACCGACTACTATGGGACTGTATCTCCACTGCCTTGTGGATCAGAGTTTAAGGTGGAAGGCTCCGGGCGTGACGCCCTAAGAAAACCACTCGCTTCGGTCTGGGCATCCGGGCAGTATTACAGCCCACACATAAATCAAGTGACTTGTGTGGCATATGTGTATTTGGTGCCCATTTGTACCAATATTTATTTGTTTAAATAAATAATAATAAATAAATAACATCTTAAATATTTGAAAGCGGTGAGTAAAATGATGGTTCAAGTATAATTTACTTGGTGTCTTTAGGAATCAAATCACGTATTAGATAAGAAAACTTTAAGTGACTAACTCGGCCTAAAGAATAATAAAGTGATCTGAAAGATTTACGATGAAGCATCACGGGCAAACAGAAGTATCTTACAAATAAAATTACACACTACATAAAGTCACTGGAATATTGAAATGCAACAACTGCATCCAGTAATTTAACTAATGTACACTCAGAAATTAGCGACACATTCATGAATTAATATAAAACTAATGTACCTGATTTTGTCAAATAACTGATTGTCATTATAATTTTTAACACTAACAATCGTTATGATTTGAAGTAATAGTTAAAGTTCTTTTTACTAAATAGGCACTATGATAAATGAAAATATCTTTTAAATAAATTCTCATTACCAACTACACTGAATTATCTTCAACTAACAGTAATAACTATTAAGTTAGCTTATGAAATTCAAGTATGAAAATGTCCTTAATCTCTCAGCCCCGTCTCCTCAAAAAAGATAAATATTCTAGGAAATATTTGTATGATAGGAACTAAAGTCAATTTAAACAAGTAACATAATTTATCCTAACAGATTCTGTTGTGACTTTACGCCCCGCTATTTATCACATGACTTATTCGTGAATCGGAACACGACTTGCACAATCTTAACACTATGCCAAAAAATGACGTATCGACTGGTATAAGCAGCCTATCGTCTCTATTGGTCATTTTCTTCCTAGCTCTGCCAGTTGAGTCTAGAACACTAATACCAGCTTCCACTATACGAATAATTTATTTCAAACATATCTGGTTTATATACAAGCCAAACAGACAACATCACACTATGAAATAAGAAATAACATTTGTACAAAATCAAACCAAAAGCTGATCGCGATTGTGGGAGACTGCTATTAATTAACTGGGCATAATTCAGGAATAGAAAGTTGTATAATAATAGTCTATACGTCAAAATAAAGCTTATAATAAGAGGAATATAAATATACATAATCTAGTTACTCAACAGTTATACAATAAGAATATTTGCGTATTATAAAATTGTAAATAGATCCCAACAGTTATCATTCCTTATTCTCGTTAAGATATAACAGATTCAACTCAAATACATGATACATTGATCTTAATTATTTACTTTGCTAAAACTTTACTAACACCAATCATTCGAGTGTAATCTAATTTGAAATAGAGAATAATGTTTACACAACCAAGGATTGAATTTTTTATTTATTCTCCATTTTTACCTTTATACACTAACTAAATAAATTATTCACTTATTATTTAAGTAGTATCCGAATAAAAATGGAATACATATGAACTTGAATATTGAATATTGGACTAACTAAAAATCAATATTCGAAAAGAAATATTCTCAACAATAATAAATTATTCTTTCTTCAATAATGAAGATTAATAACGTATTTGTACTTCATAGAATATAAGAAAGAGTTCATTGGATTTAAATAGAAGTAATACAAACAAAAAAATATGCAGTTGGACATAAACACGTACACTGACATGTGTTTACATACACTATATACATATATATATATATATATATATATATATATATATATATATATATATATAGAGAGAGAGAGAGAGGAGAGAGAGAGAACAAAGTTTATCTGTATTTGCATATATGTACATACACCAATTTGAAACACTGTAGTTATAATTGATAGAGCACATAGTGACAAAAAAAACAAACATCTGTAATTTTATAGTAATTTACATAAACCAGATCGATAAAAGTATATACATTAACACTGACAAAATTTGTCTTCTTAATTTTGCATTTTAAATAAATAGTAATTTTATTATTCATTATACTCTATTTTAATGTTCATTTTATTACAAAAATAGATTCTTATGTATTTTTATTGTTTTAATAATTTAAGAATAGGGCTGAGAATGTTCATATACATGGCAATGGCATATATATAAACTAAAAAATCATTATAAACTATAAAACACTGAACCTAGAAAATACAAAGCAGGTGATTTAGTTTTATAGAGCTCATTAAAAGGCTTTAACATCCTGGTTGATAGTTGGTATGAACAAACGAGATATCATAGACTATGACAAAACAATAGTTCAGTTTCTTTTCTCTTTCTTTCCCTCTTTCCGATTTACATTGCCTGATATGAAAATGTAGAGATTCAATTTAAAAAAGTATCTTTTCAATTTATCGTATTTATCAAAATAATAGACGAAGACAAGATTAGGAGAAACCGAAGGATAGTAAATTAAAACGAAAAGAAACCCACTTGAGGAAGAATCATGAATATAAAGAAAGAGGATGTTCAATATTTAGAAAACAAACAGTAAATACATCTATCTTGGGGCATGAGAAAGGACGTCTATGGTCTATTAGAGTCTTTGTTTCGAAAAAAGTGATATCATATAGACTAGAAACCACTACTTAACAAATTGTTTAAGGCCTTGGAAAAATAGTGATAAAACAATCTATTTAAATATATATATGAAGGGTAAACTTACTTTGTAATTTCAGATTTCGATATGTATCTTTGGTCAGAATCCGTATTTACCTCGGTTTTCTCAAAACATGGACTAGAAGAGTTTGAATTCACATCCTGACTTTCAGAAAGTTTCATCATATTCTGTTGATTTGAAGTATTTGTTACCTGAGCAGAAGACGATTGAGTTAACGAATCATGAAATTTTTCGCAACTTGTATTATTAGAATTGCATAAAGCTTGTTGATTTAAAAATGCAAATATGTATGGGATCCCACGAGCAACAATCTGTTATTTTTTTAAATAAAGAAAGGTATATGTCTCTTGAAAAATAAATAAGATCCATAAAATGTTACACAATCAGGGAATAATTGTAATGAAATATGATAAATGTGATTTCCCATTCGTCATAGTAAATGACATTAAGCTCTAACTATCAAGTCGAAAACACTTAATGGTTAGTTGATGAGCAAATATATTTTCAAGCATATAATCTATCTTGTTTAAATTATTCATGAGTAAGCAAAGAATAATGCTAATATTACCAACTGGTGAAAATAAATAAGTACCAGATCGAAATAACTTAAAATGTGAAATTGATGAATGATTATTAATATAAAACGACAAACTGATTGTATCAAGATTTGATTTATACTTTTTTATGAATCCTTGTGACATACTGATGAACTGATCAAACTCTAAATTAGGTGAATTAGGGTTTAAGTCAAGGAATTACTACATGATTGAAAACCAAGTGCTAAGACTACTAAATCATCACTTCAATGTTAGTAGTATAGAAATTTCTAATGAATGCTGTTTCCACATAAAAAATTTATATTATTCCATAAGAGAAGATTTCGATTTTTCTACTAAATATCACTATCATCCTAATAACATCCTTCTAACCAAGGCTTCATTTCCTTGTTACAAACGGATGTTATATTCGCTTTCATTCATTACTACAAACGTTTCATACACTAAAGAGTATGGATTAACGTGCAGAAACTTAGATTAAAAACAGTCCTCCATAAAATAACTTCTAACGTCATCATTTCCATTGTTGCATCAAATTTCCCGTTCAAAATTCGAATAAACTTAAATATTCGTGTATAATGATTAGAAATAGTTTACTTTGAGTCGTTAATCTGACCTTCTTGATAAATATGTTTAACAGTAAAGTAAACAAAATCTTAATCAAATAATAATTAGAATAAAAACATCATCATCAGTTGGTGACAATCTGTTATTTTAAAAAAAATCTTATAATCGAATTATCAGAAGAGTTTGGAAGTTTTATCAGTTTGCTGACTGTTAATAAAAATTACGTAAGAATGAGAAGAAAATATTGACTAAATAAGAGAAATATTTTGAGATGGAATCCACAGTGGAATTTTTAATTGCATTATAAAGGTGAACAGTGCATATGTACATAAATGTGCGTACATAAATTGCAATTCAATGGTTTCCACAACATACAATAGACTTGTAACATGAACTTGACTGGAAAATGAATATTTTGTAAACAAAGAAACGCTTTAATGTTCTATCCAAATGAAACTATCATATTTTATCTTCACTTTTAATAAATGTGACTTAGAGATAAATTTAAATCCACAAAACGCTGTTAACTATTTATTAAATCTAAGAGTGATATGATTCTTCTACATCATACCAAAACCACTACTGTTAAGTTCATGTACCTCATACTGTTTTAAATTATTGGAATGGAATCAAATCGGGTTGTGAAGTTGATAACTGATGAATATGTTCACAATAAAGCTCTCAAAAAAACTAATATGTTTGAGCATGCTCACTAATAAGACTCACAGTTAAAAGGGGAGGGGATAGGGGATTTTCCTCTAGAGATAACCTCTCTAAACACCACATAAATCTAATGCTCAAAGGTAGTTGCTTTACTCCGTTTGAATGCAAGTCCAAAATCTTCAAACAACGAAGACCAACTATATCTAAAAATTGAAGTACAAAAAGACCAAATTATAATTTATGAATGTATATAAATAGAAAATATAAAAATAAAAGGTTACTACGGAATTCTCCTTGTTAATATATGAGTTCTGAGCCCCTAAAGACAATTATATTTTATAATATGATATCTGATTTCATACACAAAGCATGTATGTGAATGGCACCAACAGATGCACAACCGTAGATAACTCACGACTTATTATCAAAGAGATTTAGTCTCAACAGAATTTCGCCTATTATCCGCAGATGTGACTCTGTTGGGTGGGGTAACAGAGGTTGATTGCTACAGATACTTAGCAATACTCAACTGAAAAATGAAATCAAACTTGTTAACAAATAGCCCTGAACTTAACAATGATTCGGATACACATCGATATCACGGCTAGTGACACATCATCCACTATTTTACAGAAAGAACGCCATTATTATTATCTATAATGGAACGGGAAGAAAACCTGAAGCGCAATAAATGTCAACCAATTAGTCAGAAAAAAGATGATTGCCAACTAATGTCAGTACATGCACTACAATGAATTTCGTCCATCAACTAAAAAGCTGGTATTTAATGACAAGTTCATGATGCTTACTATGTAGAATCAGATTTATGAAGATTGTCGTTAGTTGCTCTCGTATAGTGATAAGTGAAGATCATAATATTTTAGCCATCTACTTAAGGGGCAAGTGACACGGATATAAATGATAACTTCAAGTGGCGCAACAACGCTTCTTACAAGGGAAAACAATAATGGGTAGTTTAAAAAAATACTATTTCAATACATTACGCACTCCTTAATGACAAGATAATAGTACAGTTAATAAAAACAAATTATGTCGAAGAATTCACGACCTTTTAGCTTTGGTATAGCAATGTTTTAACAGCAGATTTATGTCCGACAATACTTTGCCTTCCTTCAATTAATAAAAAGTCAATAGAGTAAAACGAGGGTAATTCAGAAACAGAGAACTATGTATTTGACGTCTTTTGATTGGCCAAAGGCTAGTGAAATTCTATCTTTTCAGTGGTTAAAATTAACGATTGATGAATCAGGCTGTTTTGATATCAAATTTTCAAAAAATGAAATTAATAATATTTGTAATCACTAATTTTTAGAAAATATTTCAAACAGAGAAAACAATAGCTCTACCTTTAATCTGGTTTAAAGTTTACGCTCATAGTATTCCCATTATGCGGAACTACTAAACTTGTTATAACTGCAAAGGTATTCTAAAAAAGTAAGGTAACCTGAACATGATATGATACAACATAGAATACCTTAGACCTTCCGTTTTAAAATACTATTACACTGTCATATTGACCAGAAGATGAGGTGGTCACCATAAAAATGAGTTAAAATCTAGTTTCTGGAGTGACAAAATATACTGATGACATTCCATCACAAAAATGCATTGCTAATGTATCAATTATGAACCATCAGATATTTTGTTGGTATCAGTAAATTTCGTAAATTGTCATGAAAGCATTAATTACAAGCAAAGACACCGTATATCAGCGTTGGAAAATACTTAAATGACCTATAGGGCATATATATTCTAAACAAAAACTTAAAAACTGGTAAACATAAAAGAGATGCAATGTGCGCTAAAAAGTTATACGTCTCCGAATTACCATAATTCGAAGTGCATACTTCAAACGAACATACCTTCTGGAAGCGTTTCAATCAGGTTACATCCTAATAGTAAAACTTTTAAACTGTGAAGTGAGCAAATCGAAGAAGGAAAGTGTTTAAACCTGTTGAATGACAAATCCTGAAATGTAGTTCGACATTTATGAGGGGAATTACCAGCTCTTGCAAGTTTTGAAGTTCACAAATATTCGCAGGAAGAGAAGACAAATAGTTGTTAGACATTAACAAAATCCGAAGGCTCGGTAGTTTGCATAGCGAATTCGGGACAGAAAAAATTTTGTTGAAACTGAATTACAATGCTGAAATAAAAAAATTGAAATACCTTAAATCCAAAGTTGTAAGCAATCTATATTGTTCGATTCCACTCGGAATATTTGTGATGAAGTTTCGAGATAAATCCAAATGCTCTACAAACTTCAAAGTTTCCGAAATATTGGAAAAATCCCTCAACCTGCGATTGGAAAAGCCTTTAGACAATTAAAAAAAAATTATTTCGACATACTTCCTTGACGATTCGAGTAGTAGTCGCAAAAAATTGAATCCCTATTGTTTGCATCATTTTTCAAGGCATCGCTGGACTTATTAGGCACTACAAGGCTATCGAGCATCAATATTCATTCATTTCCCAAAGATGAAAACTCGAAAACGCAACGGCGTCACGACCTTCAGCGACAGTGCAGTGAAACACCGACACATATATCAATACAAAGGTAGCATAAGTAATCATGTTAAGTTCACATTGGACTCTCTCGAATTCATCAAATGAATAGGTTTGAAGAAGCAGGGTATAACAAGATAAAATTTATCATGATAAGTACAGAAATGACGTAAGCATAACACATTCTATAACTCAAGGGTTAAATAAGTTCGTAAAAATGGCTAGAGTATGAAAACCATGCTTTATGAGGGTCTCAACGAAACCACTCTAACTTCAATGACACGTACAAAAACTTACTTATTTTCGCTCGCATGTGAATAGTTTTTGGCCATTTATTGACATCGTTCCACAACGTGAGATGATAAAATATAGGTTAACGCGGTTGACTCAGAAAGATTCAATATAATTTACCACGTAATCAAGAATTTCGGGTTCGAAAGGTTTCGTGAAGCGGCTGTCTTTGTAGTAACATTAGTCGCCCTCCAATGTTCGAAAGTCTGTTCAGTCTCGATAATCGTTTTCTTTGCTTCTAACGGTACAAACTTGTATCGTCACACAGAAAACCCTACCTTGGCTTTTCTGAGCAGTGATTTTCATCAGTTCACTGATGGAAAGAACTTATCAAGCTTGTTACGGTCAGAATATTTGCTCTGGATATGATGCAATTCAAAGAAAGTGTAAACGTTTTGGCACCGGGATCCTCAAATAATAGACGTATTTCCGAAGGACAAAATAGTACTCTGAGTAACTTTACCTGAAGACGCAAAACAAAATGAACATGTCTGTGGGCTTTCATGAAATCACGTTTTTTCGAAACTTACGTCCACTAGTTCAGATTAACTGACATCACAGTTCATGCAGCAGATTTTATGATACATAATAAATGCCTATGAAAGCTGCTTACACAATTTTTGCCGATAAGGATTCGCTGCTGATCTAATAGTCCAAGTAAATACTGCAAGGTTGTCTATTCACTTCGTCAAAGTACCGTCACATGATAATACCTCATTTCTCATGCATAAATTTGATCCTCTTTGGTTCTATTTAGGATATACTGTAATTTATGTGCGTTATAACATGGTGATGTCATTTAGTTTTAGAACATGCAAGTTTTCACTTCTAATAATACACATCTGCAGTGTCCAAAGTCTTTCAATTTGTGGTCGGCACGGAGAATTAAAAATCACTTGTACTCCATGTATGCTGAAGGGCTGGAATCTGTCACGGTTGTATATGTAAACTTGAAGGTCATTCTACTTGGTTGATAAAATTATCGCACAGTAAACCTGCACACGGTATTTGTACTGTACAATGCAAATAATGAATCTTACTGAATATTCCCATAGTTTGTATAACTTGGGTTACCAGTAACTCAACTTTTGCTTATCTACAGTGAGTTCTGACGAGTAATCCTAATAGGATGTTTTCTGAGGAACGAATAAGCATGGTATTCGATTTTGAAGAAAAATACATTGTACGAACAGCTAATGCGAATGTTCACTTCAAGTAAAGTGATTTCAAAAAAATTGCCCTGGTGAAAAACGCTATTTCTGTCTGATCATTTAATGAAGTTATGAAAGAACCATGAGAGAGGTATCATCATGGCAGAAATATTTTCAAAACGTCTGAAAATCTCAGTGCGTGTGGCATCTGAGGCTTAGAGCACGTTAGTTTGTATAGACATGAAAAATTGATCGATACTATGAATACCTGCTAGTGTTTGCGTCTAAAGTCAACAACGACAATTTACGGTGAAATAATATTAAAACTGTTACACCTAAGCAAAGACGTATTTAATATATAGAATAAAAGTATTGTGAATTTCAAGGCTTTACGGTAACAGTAGAAAATCGAGTGGATGTTGAAAACATTTATATATGTTCTGACAAGAACAAGTACAAAAATCATGCTTATTTATAGGCATGATCAGCTTGATGATGGTAATAATGTTAAATATATTAGACTTTTTGGATAATACATTGTTCCACGTGTTTTTGCCCAAGAAAGATATAGGCAATACATTGTTCACAAGCAATGCAGCCGTGAAAAACACCAATCAAAAGTTTTGATATTTTCTAAGTGAAGATCCAGTTGATTTATGAACTTTGCATCTCTTGCCCAATAACCAACTGATTACAATCATCTACATTTAGGGAAATTACAACGGAAGCAGAAGTCACGGATCAACAAAAACAATAACTACTATGATGATATGATGACTAGGAGTATTTGAATTATAGTACGAACTAAGAATCCCAGAAATAACGCAGTAGGAACAAGAAGTACTAGATAAGAATTAACGGATGTACCATAAATGGAATTCAAAATCAAGCATTCAATAAGTGCGAAGGAATCGTTAGTTCATACAAACACCACAGATGGCCAATTAGTTCTACCCCAAAACATCTCTACGTTATTTTATGATGTTTTGTTCGTGTCAGATATTATTCAGACTTGTTAAGGTTATCTGGGATGATGTTGAAGTAAGGTGACAACACGTATGGTGGTTTACTTAGTAGGATGAGTAATAAAAACGACTCAGCATTCGAAGTTCTAATAATCTCACTTGTGAAATGGAATATACATACAGGTATAAGCATATTTCTAGATAAGTAAACATCGATGCATCGAACCAGGGATGGGAGCGACTTCATCTCACAAATAGGTTGTAGTACATTATTCCAGAGTCTGGGAAATTTACGGGTAAAGTAAATCATATAAAGAAAATAGTTAGAGCGAGAATATTCCATTAATGACAAGGATTTCATCAGATGTAAAACATGGTTTATCAAGTATTTCAAAGAAAAAAATTAGATTTAGTCTCTGCCTCTTTAAAGAGTCGAGTTCAAGTTTATTACGTCTGGATTTATAATTTAAAATATGATTAGTTCTAACAATGCGAAATGTTAACCATATCTGGACGAATTCCAGGCCTTTTTATAATCTATGCAAACACTACTAGGAATAAACGCAAAGTATTCTAAGAGTGGTCGAAGACGTACTTTGCACATCAAAACACGTGAATGGTTGCTTAAGAGGATTATGAAACCTGTAAGGCGGTGAGGTTTCGAAGGCTTTTTCGGCACTTGTACTGGGAAGGACAAGTTGTAAGGTTATCTGAATCCTGAGTTCACTACTATATATGACTCGGATAATACCTTACCATTTATGGAAAGATCTAGATTGAGTGAAGTATTGCACTTGCATATCCATCTATGTTTATCTGTATCAAGCTACAACTATCATTTTAGGCACAACTGGACTATGTTGTTTAGCTCTATACTGATTCAATTTCGCGTATTGTTCAGTTCATGAAGAGAAAATGATTTACTAAATTAAGATCATCTGGATATAAAACAGGCTTGGTTATGCCAAAGAAACCGGAAATAAAATTTATATAAACTAAAAAGACCAAAGGAGCATCTTTTTTTATCGGACCAGCATCCGATAAATAGGAGTTAATTTTTAGTAATTGGTATTGTTGAGTGAGGAGAGAATTAAAACCAACCAAACAGATAGTTTTCGAATTCATATGATGAGGGTTTGCCTATGAGAGTCTGGTGATTAGCCATGTCCGAAGCTTTGGATATGTAAAGGTACAACTATTATTAAGTACTTAAAACTCCTAACTAATGGCTTCAAACCTATGCTTTTCTTTAATTTGGCGACTGTCATGAAGTCGTTTGACCTATAGCAACGTTTCTTCAGGTGTCTTAATTCACTGCAATATTTTACTGGTGTAAATAACTCATTAGGCATTCTAAACCTGTACATCCTAAGAGATGAGCAGGAATCTGTACATAAGTTGGTGATCAGAGATAATGTGTCAGTAGCATTGAAGAGACTATAACGTGGGGATTTATCCAAGCCTGAGGGCATATGCGTACACTTTATTACCGACTGACTTTTTGTATTGGTTTCGGTGTAGATAGCGTGATATCTTTTAGAATATTAGATCAAGTATAGCATCATGCCTTGATTGGGCAAAAACCTATTAGGATCAGCAGAGCATGTCATTTTGCTGCCATGAATTTGTGGATTTATGATTAAATTCAGTATTAGTACATTTGTGTTCATTATTTTAGTAACAGACCCCATTCCAAAATTGTAAATTTTTCATGATGTAACCATTTAATTTATAAGATATTACTTGGAAGTCACATGCTTTTCCACACTTACTTGCCTTGCATGACATTCAGCAATATAACGTCTAAAACGTCTTATGAACACATTTCGGCTGGGGGTTAAGTAACATATTTATTGTGAAAAGGTGTGGGTTACAGAGAATGACCACCTTTAAAAGGCTGTGTCGCGCAATACCGACCAGCCGTTCCCGCCCTCACTATTTTTAATTTTCTCCGAGTGTCACATGTTTAATGTAAATTTCCTCAGTAATTATATTCTCGGCTTTAAAGATCGTATGGTTAGGAGCCAATACCGCAACAAGTTCAACACTACATGACTGACAACAACCGATACTGCAGTTCGTCCCAGGTTGATTGAAATCTCTTGCAATAACTTATGATCGAATTTAGAGCAGATGTATGATAACGTCATTTGCACTATCCGAAATATCAGCAGCTGCGTATATGTATTCCAGGAATAGTCCATGATTCGGAATGTTACCTGATATCCAGACCAATTCTTGCAAACTACTCAAAACAATGTCGATAATCTTATTAGTTGAAAGAGAAACCAAGACATCTATGAAACAACCACCATCATGTATGGTTTCTCAGTTATGGTGATAGAGTCTAACTTGAGGGTTAGCTGCTTCACAGATTTCGGAGGATTTTGTCAGACGTCTTATAGATAATGACGTTATTTCAAGAGATTATTCGCCTAGTAACTTCACTAGCAATAAAATTGATAGTGGGTGCTGCTTTGATAATGTTTTAGAGGTCAATTGGAGCCTTGTCTTTCAATAATAGTAGCAAAGGTGGTGATATA